ATCCGTAGACGACTGTGTTCTCCGGCACGACCTCGCACGTGTTGATTTGACAGCACGCGCCGACGATGCAGCCGCTGGTCAGGATCACGTTTCTCCCGAGATCAGCTGGGAATGAACATTACAAAAACGCACAGTCAAAAATATGAAAACTGGGCTCACTGTAAAACCATATTTACTGTAAACCCATATTTACATGTGAGTTTTAGTGGTTTTTGTAGATTTAAGTAAAGACATGTGAACAAACAATGTGTCTTTGTGACAGGCTGCTAGTAACATAGTACCTAATGATGCGTTGTTGCAATCTTTGCTAGGTTTTCCATTATGTGTTGTGACACTGTCAAATACAAAGTTCATCTCTGAGCAAAGTGACTTTCTGCTTGAATGATTTATAGGTTGGTAGTGAGTGGCTTTAAAAGACAAACGAAAATGGTTAGGTACAAGGACTGGACTGGAAATGGGTGAAAAAGCAGCCAGTGTCCAAAGAGAAATTTTAAAAGACCTTCAGAAAGCCTGGAGAATTATTGCTCAAGAGCACTTTAAAACATTGAAAGAAAGTCTGGATCCTTGGAAGCAAAATATCAAGAACTCAGGGCGGGCTCAAGACTCGAGTTTTTTCTAATGTTAATGCAGTACTTACCCTTGGACTCAATTACATTGTTGTCTCCAATTTTCAAAGCTTGAGAGACTGTGTCAGACTTGTCAAGGACTTCAACCAGTACATCAGGGGAATGAAACAACTGATGTAATCAAAAGCTATTGCATACTGACTTATATTGCTGTTTTCATACATGCTTTCCCTTATTTTCTGTCATATATATTGTTACAGTTGTGAGTAAACATGGACAAATACTAAATACTAAAGTCAGCGTATGTACAAGTAATCCCTGTGACCACTGAACTCGTTTTCTACTCTGTACAATGTCATAGCGAATGGATAGCTCTAAAATAGTCATCTCAGGCACACAGCTCTAGCTGTGACCACAGAAGCTCCACCCACCAGCCGTTCAATCCTTCTATTTGATAGGGACAGCCAATCACAAGGAAGTTGTCTTAATATGATGGTTCTCAAAATTTTTCCACAAGGCTCGCTTCGGAAGCCAAAAGTTTGATTTTTTTTAGTTTTTAGTTGTTTTTTTTTACAATAAACAATACCAATAAGAAAGATCCAAGATAAGTTTGAATGTGATGTGATGCAGTATGTTAAAAACTAGCCAAAAATGCATACCAAGGATCCCAGCTGAGCACAATTACAAAGAAGCGATGACACAGTGATGAATAATCAGACTTTC